CAAACGCTCGTATAAATAAAACCGAAGCGTTGAGCAAACAAGCCCAGTAGTCCAAGACACCGCTCTGCCATTGGAGGTTGATTGCCAACAGAAATATTATTGAGCAATGCATTTTGCGGATCATGAAATGCTGCTCCCACTGATTAGACCAGTTTAATCGGCGAAGTTGCAAGATGATACCAAATCTAAATGCATTTTGCGTCTTTCTCAAAACGGAAGTGTAATTAGTCTCAATTGTCTCTGGCTTAAAAATGAGAGAAACAGTGAATAACTTGGGCGCGTAAGAGGCGTCCTTCCAGTGGCCGCGACTCTGCCAATGGCGACAGTGACGTTCAAAATTCAGCACTTATCACTTTTTTACGACAAACCATACATTTGGTCACGGAGACAACTAGCTACAACAGTGAACTTTTCATATGAAATGCAGTCTTTCACCTAATCGTATACAATTAGGTAATTGCCGTCATGTGCACACTTTTTTTGAACACCAACTTCCCATGGTACATTACAGTTTGTCGCCCATTCAAATTGTCAGCATCAACTGGAGAATACATTCTACGGCAACATGTTCTGCATTCGCGATTTCGAGGGATGGCAGCGCCTTCAATTCTTCCTCGTCTTTACTCCCCTTCTGCCTCTTCTCTACATAACCTATTTATTTCTCCCAAATCTGAAGGTAAGGCGATATGAGCGGATCAAACCTCGCCATTAAGAGAGTGTCGCAACGCGAAATTAGCCTTAACACGCTTTTTTTCCATAAAACTTCTTAGTCGAAATATTGATAATGGAAATGGAGAAATCGGTTGAAGAAAATTTAGTGAACAAATAGGAAACACGCATTGAGCGAGCTAATGACTCCAAAAGACCCATTTACAACCCACATTTTAATACGACCAAACCAGTGATTAGTTTGCTTTAAATCTACTTGGAGGAATTATTTCAGGTTATAAAAGCGTAGAAAGATTCCTCTTTTTGAATCGTAAGTATTGAGCTGTTGCTGCGACGGTGGAGATGTGCTGAGGGGAGTTGTCGCCCCCTCTTTCTGCGCTCGTGCACAAAACCGGCACTTCATTGGGAAACCTGCAATACAAATAAGTTTGCATCTTCGTAGGGTAGTGTTTTCAACCAAACTTAGGTAGTCAGGAAGGATTGCCCCCTTGCATTCGAACTTTTGAAGTCGATGCCGGTACTGAACTGCAGGAAGAAATAATTTCTAACCAGTCAAATTGTAGGATATCGCGCTGTAGACATGCTTTACTAAATTCTATCCTAGCCACGCCCACACTTACTCGCTTTTCACCATTTCTGCACTCAGTTCGAAGGCATTAATTCTTACTTTACCTCAAATAACAAACAAATGAGGGCCCATGGGTTACACGATGGCACCTCCTTCAAATGTATTATCCTTTAACGATATTTAAAGTCATGCTCGAGTTGACTTTAGGTGGGTAGACAGGACGTCACAGCACCGACTTACAACTAGTTTAGCATAGGCAAAACTCAAAAAAGAATATGGAGAGGTTGCGCGGTCAGAGGGCTTCTGGTATAACTGTTTACCATCCTGGAAAGTTTTATCAGGAAAAGATGGGAGAGATAAAGCAGCGCTCGACATGCAGACGAGGAGAGTGTGGAATCCGCTTTCTCGGTAAATCGGCTTCCCACATTCGTGCTATTTACAATAGTTCAACTGACAATGAACGAATTTTTTTTAAACACTGAGAGCCACCTTGAAAATAACAAGTTGTCAGAGCAGAATATCGGTGGGCTTAAGTGTGCAAAGCTTCGAGAAACTATGTATATTTCGACAAAACATAATTTTCCGTCAATTATATCAAATCACTAGCAAATGAAGTCGGAGTTTCAGTACAAAATTAATGGAGGGGTGTAGCTTAGTTGGTGTGCCTGCAGTCTGTCAAAATGCGTCATTTGGAGCTGGAACCTCAAGGTTTTTAGGCTTCACTTCTGGCTGCAGCTCAATCGTGATGAGTAACAGTGGCCAACTGGACTCAACGTTTCCCTTTCAATGGGGCTTCATTCACAACACAGGAAGCTCATATAATTTAGCAAGTAAGGCAGATGAGTATGTGCGATTGGTTTATCAGTCGTAACAATACTAAATAGCCTACTGGGAGAGTGCCGCTAGTTGGGTGAGGAAGTTGTTGAATTGTTCCATATCAAGTAAATGCAGTCCTCATTGGTGATTTTTGCCATCTTCAGCCTTGTGCAGCGGGATGATGTTTCTATGTCCTTCGCCATGCATTGTTTTTGCTCTCCTTAAAGATCAGCCTGGAGTAGGGAAACTAATTTTCAAACGGAATCATTCGCCAGCAATAAGGATAAAATGCCCTCTTGGTGGTCGAATATGAGTGTAGGCGTTAACGAAACAAAGTTTTGTCCCTAAAAAGTTGTCACTTTTATGTGATGAATAAATTGCTGCTGCACCCGAGTCCCATTAACTGTTCTTAAGGGTTGTTAGAATCGTAAAACCCTACGCAAATGCGGAATTACTACAGCCCTGTCAGCTCTTCAACATGACTAAGAGATCGACATCTTAAATAGCTTCCAATTCTGACCGACGAGAGCCAAATTATGCATTGACAAAACAATTAAATTCGGTTTTTCTGCTAAAACAAACGAAGAATCTGTGTATACTGTTTTTAATAGCGCATTTTTAGGCTACTGAAAACGGACGCCTTTTCTGAAACCTAGTCGAGGAACAGCTTCAGAGGGTGTCTAATTGTTTCCTCATTTTGAATGCATTTCTCTCAAAACTTCATCCAAATCAATCACCTCAGAAAAGTATTGGAATTGTTTCATTTTATAAGATAATTAAGTTGCTGTTTGCATATGCAACACAAAATGAATGCTAATGTAATCGGGGCTTCCATGGCCCGAGAGGTAAGTGAGGCAAAATCTGCCTGCCTCAGTTTTTTACCCATTCAGTGAGTATTCGGCGCGCGCTGTGCTCTCGTCCCTTTACTACTTCCTGCTCTGTTTTAAGTTCAAAATCGGCAGGCCAATCGCACTCGGCAATAATTAGCTGTAGTTAGTACTGGAAATACTTGATTTCTTTCATTTTGGACTCAGTTGAATACTTTTTGGTAGTTAAAAGCGTGCTTAATGCAAATTCTTTTGCTGGCGGTCATCTTTGGAACGAAAGTTTGAACTTACTAGTGAAATACACCAAGTTTGGCAAGAATGTAGGTACGATGTGCACGTAGACAAGAACACCTCAGCAATAAACTTGCCTTGTCGTTCTCCTCCGCCTTGCTCTCGTTTGTACAATCATACGAGTTGGTAAAATAGCTTCTTGTTGTTAGCAAGACAAAAAATTGGCAGTTGGTTAATTAAGCAATTCTCTTCTTTCCTCACTTTCGCTTTTAACTCAAATTCCAAATTGGTTCAGCATAAAACTTACCATTGAACTAAGTTTTTTTGCCTTCGGGGTGGCCGCTTTAACCGCAATAGAGCAATTAAATGTAATAAAAGATAATTTCGTGGAATCTCGAGCTAAATTTAATAGTGGTTGAAATTTTTTTATTTGAAGAGTATTGCTCGCATCGTTATGGACAATGTAATACACTCAAAAGCATCATGCACCTCACCAACTCTCTGAAAGCAGACAGCCTCAGTCGCCTTTCGCGATTTTCACTCGCAATACGGGAAGGTTTGCCCCTTCACCCCACTGAAGAGTGGTTGCGACCATCCTGTCTATATTTTTCGTCGTCTTTAGGTAACATAATGTCACAATTCACGTTTTCCGTTGCATTAATGCTGTGATAAAGATGCATGGTCGGTCTTTTAACAAGAAATGAATTTACTAACTTCGTTGCTGGGTTTTAAATTTTGTACCTTGCATCTGACATATTTAGGAACTCAGACCCTTCATTTTGTGGAAGCAAATTGCACTGGACGGGATGAGGGATCTCTGCTACCAAACAACTTTATCTAATCGAGTATTTTACTGACCGATTTTTCCACTCCACAGGTTCCCACTCCTCAGAGTCTGATGTTCCGCCAAACAATTACTGGAAAACTGCAGGTGTGTTCCCGTTTCAGTTTTTCTATTAATAATTCAACCAAAAAGTGGGCGGCGACTTTGAAGGTCAGCTCTGACGTCGGGAGGAATTTTATTAGCTCTCACCCGTGCTCAATTTAATACCACATTTGCCACAAAGTGATTTATGACACCAATAGCGCTTATTACCTGACCTCACCTAACAAACAACACACACCACATCGGTGGATGTCTCGATTCATTCCAAGGTTCGGAACACTCCTACTGCGGGAGAATGAAACTTAGTCTCGTATCAAATCTAAAGTTTTTTGCAAAAATTTAGGCGTGGTGAGCCATAAAAACTAACCTGCTTCATGGAATAAGTACACTCCTTTCATGAGTGAGAAATGAAAGGTAATACAAATGTGCGCAACCGCGTGGCCAATTGGGACTCAGTTATGCTTTGGAATGCCGCTTCCAATTTGGCGAATAGAGGCAGTGATTTCCTTGACAAAATTTTAGGTTGCACAATAAAGAACCTTAACTTTTGCTCAAAATGGCGAATTTTCGACTGTCTCCACTGTCATTCCACCTGATTTCTTTCCCTCATCTCCTAGTTTGGCGCTTTTCATCCAAACAAACAATTGAGCCATGCAGATTTCCTTTTAGGGATGGCCTCCATTATCTATTTTGTCCACCTGTGCAAACTCACGTTCTAGTGGTCAAAAAACTTCTCCCACTTTGCAGCATAAATTTGCAGCTGTTCTTCAGGCAGCAGTTGCTTCGAAGTCAAAGGTTTACCAATGGTTGAATAGCGGGTGAAATATGCACTTTTGGGGATAAAAGTACAAACATAATTTATGCTGAAGAACATTTGATTTTAGATTTGCCCTAAATGCCGCACGACAATGTAAATTCGGTTTCCACTTTATCAACAGGTGGGCCAGTTGTTGCGCTGTCCCATTATCAAATTTATGGGCCACATGCTCTCCTACTTCACCTTCCTACTGCTCATAACGGTGGCAACCTTTCGACTGGACAAGGACAATGACAAAGCCGAGTATCCTGACCTCTGGAAGGTGCGCGCCATTCAGATTTGGAGCTATGACTTCCGCAATAGCCAGCAGGTCATGACGAAAATCCACATTCTTTTGCTCTTTTGGATATTAGGTAAGTACATCGGGTTCACATTGCAGGAAATTTGTCATGACGTAAACTGTAAAAAAAGCTTAAAACGATGCTTCGATTTTGACATACTTTTCCTTGATAGACAATATCACTACGGTTACCAGAATATAGTAAACGCTAAAGGTCAGTTGCCATGGCCAATGTAAACATGAAAGTCTTTTGGTAGGCTCAGTGTTTCTCTCTTTGTCCTCTGCTTTAAAGCCTTAAGAAAAGGGTGCACGAGTATGACGAAGGCCTGCTTTTTTGAGTAGCGACTATAAATGGTACAGTTTTCAGAGTCGTAGTGTATTTAGGGTACAATTTCTTCCCTATGGGAGCCGACTACATTCGAGCCCGCTTGGAAGATGCGTGCCACCAAACATGTATTCCAAACATTCTAACTTGCTTAAATGTAACTCCATGCAACTATATAGTCTCGGTGCTTACTCTCCAGGTCGCCTTGTGAGCTCCCACCAAACCTCTAACTGATCACTGTTTGACCAAGCATCCAGAATTTACGAATAGTATGTGTTAATCAAAGAATCATAAGGAAGGAAATAGACATTCTGGGCTATCAACCGACAATTTCCGACAGGATCACTTTAGCCTTTTTTCTTTTGATCATAAAGTGCTGAGATAGCATCGCGGAGAGATGAAGTCACTGAAAATATTGTTCAAGAATCTTGGCACAATCTTAGGCTATAACGCCAACCTTCCGTTTCACCAAAATATCGGTCAATTAGTGGCTCTCATTCGCATTTCAACTGTACTCAGACTTTTGTTAGTTTAGCGCTTCAGTAGTATTTTATTAGTTCATAGGCAATTTTGAATAAATTTTAACTTACCAATGCGTTGCATCGCATTGAGAGATTAAGGGGCCCAAACATATCACTCAGAGTATGAGGATTTTTACGAAAATATCCAGCAAAATGAAATCCGATTCACCTATTGAAATTCGTAAAAATGGAGGAGTGGACTGGAGTGGGTGTTTTATAGCAAACGAGCCGAGCCTAAGAACTAGGTTACCGTCCTGAAAGCCTCCCTGAGCATACGCGCATGAAATGACATTCTCTTGACTGCACCTTTAAATAGTGAGCTCCTGAATCCGAAGTCCAGTAACCCTCGTTCTTTTTCCATTCCATTCACTCGCTTAATTACTTCTGTCGCTTATCTAAGTGCTCATTTTGCCTCTGAGTCAAATGTGTTAGGAAAAGGAAAGATTTTGACCCTCTTCAGGCCACACAAGACCAGGATGATCGCTCTCCCACACCATTCTCTGATGTTTCTAAGATCGCATTGCACGAGACACAAACTCGACATGAATGCAGTTAGCGGGTAAATAAGTGCATTTACTTGTGCTCCAGGACCATCTTAGGATACTTCTTGCAGACTTTAAGAACACTCGATAATTTTAAACTAGACCACATTTTGAAGGTCTTCATTATCAATCAAAGTTTAAGCTTATTGAGCCAAAAGTTGCTTCTGCCGCTAAAGCATGGATTGAAATGGCCCACGGCCGTGTCTCAAACTAGATGTTTGCGTTTGTTCGTTTCAGCAAACATGACTAACCACCTTCAAAAACTAGTATGAATGTCGGGCTTTTAAAGTTTACATAGTTTTCGGAATTTACGTACATAAGTGGATGAAACAATAATCTAAGGCTCCTTCACTTTCACCCGGAGAGCATACTCGAAAGTTCAATGGTAAAAACAGACACTACAGTTTACTGGAGCACACATTTTTATTGGATGCGCTAAAGGTACCACAACAAATGCCTTTGCACATTTTATGTCCTCTCCATATTCCTCCACTTACCATCTTTACAAAGCTCAGTTATGTTTATTCTAGGACAACTCTTTGGAGAGTGCAAACAGGTCTACCATTATGGTCTGCAAGATTACTTCCGCAGCTACTACAACATCATGGACTGGGTTTCAGTGTCGCTCTACTTGGGCGCATTCGCGCTGCGAATTCTTGTGGACCTCAGAGTCCAGGCGACCCAGAAAATTTTCCATCATCGGCTCTTATATGCACAGGCTCTGTTGCTGAATGCTAGCACCGTGCTTATGGACCATGACGCATCCGTGTTTGAAGTCAAATTGGGAACCAATCCGCAGCACAACTACATCGCCTACCGCAATTATTTACTTTCTGACGGTACCGCATACTGGCTCCGAGGATGTAAGCGCGAAACTTTTCCGAAGAAACACATGAGAGCGCTCGATTCAAACAAGAATTTCGGAGCTTACGAAGTACTGGAAAAAAATTAGGGCGTCAAAAGCATCTTCCTTTTTTCACTCTCATCCACTTTGGCTTGACCAAGTGGTCCCTAAGTATGCTTACAGCGCTTAGACATTGGTGCTTAAGTATGACTTTAAATGGATGGAAGTAGTCTTAAGGCAGAGCTGAAGTACTTCAGAAACATGACAACAACTTTTCGGTCATCTACTTCAAAGCTTACGTGGGTCGATGAACTGAAGGAAAAACGTACACTTACTGAAGGAACGTAACAGTTGCTCCCCTAAAATCTCCTACACATCATGCGCAGTACAACATTAGCATTCATAATTTAAAAAGCAGAAAACTAGACCTAAGTGCTCTAATTGCATTACTCCTCCGCTCAGTAGGAGAAAATGCTAGTCTTCACAGCCGGCATACTTCTTCGAAGAGGCTGAAATTTACAGTAGCAGGCGAACATTTGATTTTCTTACCTTACTATCATTCAAAGTTATCTTGTGGTCCCTTGTGTGCACCAGCGGTCGAGATATTAACATGCGCCGTTTCCTTCAAACCTAGCCGTTGATAACATTATACGAACCCCTTTGGCTTGCAAAGCCATAATGAACAAATAAATGAATCGATGGTGCTATTGTGGTCTGTAAACTATGATGAGAGAAGCCATGAGGTGAATAAACTGTAATGCTTTGTTTATGTGACTATCTGACGTTTGGCGGTCACTTTAGAACTTGTCTAGGCCCAGTACACGTGGGCTGGCCTTCGGGCCACGCTCAGGCCCCCATTTCTCCTATTGTTTTTGGAATACATGTATTCAACCTCACTTATGCCTTCTACTACCCCATTTGGAGCCTCGGGACGCTACATAAACAATAACTAAATTTTAATTCATTTATGAAACGTCTAGGGAACTGCTACAGGGCCACCTTTGTGGCTTGGCACTTATTGACCAATTTTTTGCTTCCTAAAAGCGGTTCGTCAATCGTCGTGTGACTAGTTTCCAAGTGCCACAATGCGCGAAACGTTTTGGCTTTGAAGCAAGTGTATGTAAAACGTGGTGTTAATTTGTTCATTCAAAACACAAATTAAACGTATTTTAAACCATACTGTAAAAATACGACTTTAAACTGGCAACGTGTAGGTTCTAAAGGTCACTGGTAAATGCAGCCGGCAAATTGTTAAACCCCAGCTTGGCACCTGCTTTTGATGAGGATCAACTTTCCCACAATTAATAAATTAATTTGGTTAAAGTATGTAAAACTTCAACTGTTAAGCAGGACTTGAATCGCCTTCTCCATCTTGCAATCCTTAAGTTGGCACTGTTGTCCTCTCTTAGGCAGACTGTGGTGGGCCCCTGACGATCCGGAGTACGTCTCGGACTGCCTATTTGCGCTGGCCAATGTTCTTTCGTTTGCGCGGGTGAGCTACTTGATGCCGGCCTGGGAACTTCTCGGACCTTTGCAAATTTCATTGGCACGAATGGTTTCTGATATTATTCGCTTCTTGACCCTTTTTTCCGTGGTAAGTGTTCACACACTATCGCACGCCCCAATTAAAATGCATATTTATTGTGCTTTTGTAAAAAGTTACAAAACTTACGAGAACAAGGTGCATTTGTTTCGTGCTGATCAAGACAATTCGATTGCTGCTTGCATCATTATTACTACGATCGCATTTCCCTCAGTAATGGCAAATTGTCCGTCATTGTGCCTTCCTCTTCGACACCATAGTTAGACGCCCTCTTTTCCTCTTTCGTCTGCCATCATTTAATGGAGCTTTTAAATTCAAAAAACTTATACAGAATGGGAAATATTATTCGTTTCCAAAGCTAGCTGTTGTGCAGTAAACCAAAATTCCTTCGGGACCTTAAAGTACTTGCGACTTCGTAAAATCTGGGAGTAAAATCCACCAAATATGACCTATTATGGCCATATTATACAAGTACTTCGAGCTTAGAATGAGTTGAAGCTAATGCGATGCGTGGAGAAATTTTGAATTGTAACTTTTGGCGACACTTAGGGTGCAGTTGTTTATATTTTCCTATAAAACTCTGTCTCTGTACTCCTCATCGTGCTTCGTACGATTTCCTTGTTCTTTATCACCTATTCGAAGATCTGTTAAAAGTGTCATCAACGGTTTAGACTGACTTGGACTAAATGGTGAGTGCAAAGAACTTCTGTAGAACCTACGTGGCATTTGTTTTAAACCAGACTCCAGAAACAAATCATGCTGAAATTGATGCTCCTTGCAATGGAAGACTAATTCTTAATTAAGGCAGCGAAATTTAGCATCTCTATTAACTTGTGGAATTGACTGAAGGGAACTCTTAACTGTCTTAAAAACGGAACTTCACTGGGAATAATTTGAATGATGAAGAAGCTGGTTCAGGCTTATGTCAACTGGGAATGAAAAGCGATGGAAGCTAGGCAAGCATGCCAACACATGAAAAGCAATGAGCTTCGACGATCATCTATTTATTCACCAGCTCATGCTCTTTAATAACGTCCCAATTGCAAAAAGTGTATTTGATGGTTGAAGTTTTACAAGAAATAACTTTTAGGTTCCAATATCCGGGGCTCTGCTATTCCAAGCAACTTGCCAACTCCACGTCGAAAGAGGCGTGGACTGTGTCGGCAGTTCACTGCAAACAGAAGTGTCTGCCAGGTTTATTGTTGAGGGTCTAACACCTACAGATGAGACCTTAGTAGAATCCGTCGCAGCTCGGGTGTGTAAATGATTCATCTAATTTTACGGACAGACAAACTATACTGAGCAGATAACCTTACTTTCTAGTTACTCCTCAAGGGATTACCTAAACAGCTAATGAAGGAAAGCGGTTGACATGAATGGATCCACTTTTTTGTAGATGCTGATCGCATTTGTAGTCGGACTGACGAACCTGTACTGGTATTTCGCAAAAATGATAATCGCCATCGATACCAAAAAGGGAGCACCGACTGCAGCACCAGCAACGATTCGCTATGCCAGCGGGGTCCCTGCATTTCAGAGGTAGGCTCCCTTTTTCGCTCCTTCTACCGCCCTTGAGCAGCAAAAATTCACTGACTCTTGAGTAGGCGTATGGGGCGACCTCTGAGGTACTCGGTTTCATTGTGGTGTTTGCAAGTCTACTGTTGCAAACTAAACCCAAACTATAAACTTTGAACAAGCAATTTCGCTTCCACACTTTGATTCTCTGCGCTGACTATTTCGAAATGCATCTTTGTATAGAGTTTTACCTAGCCTTCCAAAGAAGTAAGCACTCGGGAAACAGTAATAAGCTAAAACTTATGTAATATTATATCTCCTTCTGCCCTCTCACGGACCATCTTAAGTTTTTAATGTTCGAAATGTCTTCCAACACGAAAGCTTCTCCCAACATCTGTTCGCTTCAATCAGCCAGATATTTGGCAGCTGTTGGAAAATTGACCCGTATTTAAATAATGCAGTTAAAAGAAAGTTTTTGGTTTTGTGAATAGCATTAGAATGTTCTGAGATTGCCGATTTGTTATTACTGCTTCCAATGAATCAGTCAGAAAGCCAACATCAAACGATGCGTCTCGTGCGGTAAAGATGAGGCAAGAGAATTGAACCAACAATGGAAGTACTGAGGCTCGGAATCGTATGAAACAAAAAAGACCGTATTTCCTTAGGGTCTAGCAATGAGTGTTCAACGCAAAAAGCACCGTACAGGTGTCACGCACGATCTCCGCCCGACTTGCTGCATGCCATTGATGCATCCAAATAGTTTCGATAGCCCTCACAAAGCGTGCAGTCATATCGGCACACATTTACAACATTTTATTGAGCTTGTTCAACTGCTTCGAATACGACGTGGAAAACCAAGTTCTGAATTCTAGGCAATATAAGATCTCAACTTTCGTGCCTTCGAGGTTGGGGGGTTTTTAAGGTCGCCGTCAAATATTTCAGTTGGGTTTAGGCAACGCATTTTAACGCTGCGATGTTGTTTGCGGATTGCACATGAGGCTCCATGAAGTTTATTGACTTTTTAACACAGTATCCGCCTACTTTTTTTTACTTTACGCTGATTAATGAGAAGCCTTCGTCCATTGTGTGGTGTTTCTGCTTTCCAGATTGCTTAAATGTTCATTTTTGAGGATGACAAAACAGCAGTGAAGGGTCTCACGCGTATTTGACCAGCTACTTAAAAGTACAAGCAATTCTTTCGCTCGACACTTGGGTCTCCAAACTTTATTTATGTCTGGTAGAATTGTTTGGGAAAAACGTCTTGAAATTTAGAAGTTAGCGGTGTTACAAGTAATTTTTGTCGTTTCAAAGTAAGCGACAGAGGCCATTTTACTCATAAAGTAACCCAAAGGTCTGACAAATATGGATAAAGAAAGTTGTTTCCTTCAACACGGAATGCTTAACAACAATTGACAGGAATTTATGCATTCATTCCATGCTTTGCGAATAGCCTTCGATGTCGTTGCACTTTTTGAAACAGTTGTTATCATCTTGCAACAACACGCACCATCAAAACTATAGTGCTGCTTTATTCTTTCCTCAGTTATTCTAAATTCGTATTTTAGTTTAACAATCAACTGATCTTAATGAATTGAAAAGTGTTTTATGCCCTTCCTTTGGATTTTATAGTTCTACTGCAACTTTCCACACTCTGTTTTGGGCGTTGTTTGGGATGTCTTCCAATAATGTGACGATGGTGGAGGAAGAACTGGCCAGCGTCTATCCAGGACATGAACATCTTCGAGTGAACAATGCCGCCTTTATGATATCAAGCCTAGGCTCAGTTCTCTATGGTGTCTACAATGCATGCATGATAATTATTCTTCTCAACATGCTTATTGCCATGATGAGCAAATCATTCGACGAGATTCAGGTAGACATTCACACTAGTGTGGCTGTTGCATGGCTTGGTTTCTGAAGGGTTGAAACTCGAAAACTAAAGGACTAACAGTAGTTGCTTGAACCTCGGAAGCGATGGGAGTGTACTGGGCCTGCTGTCTGCAACATCTTTTGCACTGAAAATTAGTATCGCTAAGTCGATGGTCACTAGAAACAAACCGTTAACCTAGGAGTCATGCATTACAATTACTAAACGAATCCTTCCTTGCATGTCCTGTATTTCCTGCCATTGTTACTGAAGCTACTGCTGACGCCTTTAGTGAGCAGCACCCAATTTGCTATTCTCTTGGCAGGCACCAATCCTATCAAAGTTCAGCTGGTCGCACAACGAGTATGCATGATGGAGTGAATGCTCTTCCTCATGGTGCTAAGTTGCTGTCTGTAAATTGGATAGAATCACACACACCAGGACAAGCTACTGATGCTAACTCAACCGAGTGTTGTTTTGTGCGGTGGTTCTTAGCTCATTCAATCAGGCCTTCATCGTAACATCATCAATGCATTGTGTTAGGTTTGTCTACATATGCTGAATTTCATAGCTCTTTCGCAATTGTTCATGAAGTTGTCTTAGCGAGTTGACAACACTCAAGCAATTTATCATTAGATGATTTGGGCACTTGTTTATCAGTAATGAAAAATCCTTCGAAATCACACACTTAAGTTGGCAATAGCATCCTTTCATTCATACAGAATGTTGCAAAAATAGTCTCTAATTAACCTCCTTCATTTATTTGAAACAGAGAGGCGAATGCGCTCTCCAGTTCCTTCTAGAGAGCTGTTTTTGATGGCCATCTGAAAAGGAAAGCAGCGTTCGCCTTCCATGGTTGAACTTCTGAGTCTAAAGAAAAGTATACAAGCGTTTGAGCTGTTTGTCCCCATTAGCGGCCGAAGTCCGAGTGAATGAAAACCGTCATAGCGGTTCTGGGTAATGCGTAGACCAAGTGAACGCTTTGATTTGTCCTAAAACCTCGCCCACTTATTTATTTCGAAATATTGGCAGATGAAAACCATTGGTCATTTAAAATGATTCTCTTATTGTTCATAAAAGGACTTTAATAGGTTTTAAGTAAATGTGGAGTAGTTCGGTGATGCTTTGGTCAAAACATTTCTAGCCCAAAAAAATGCATTTCAAGAGTTGAAAATGTGCAGTTTGCATGCACATGCATGCTGCTTTCCCATTGTCCAGTCGTGAAATATCTGTTGATAAATTAGCACAGGCATGACCCACTTTCCCCTTCGAAACCAGGGCGATCGCCTAGAAGAGTGGAAATTTGCCCGTGCAAATCTGTGGTTGGTCTATATCGAACATGAGGGCGTACTGCCGGCTCCTTTGAATCTTCTTCCCTCCCGTGTCGCCATTACGAAGATTATTCGACGAATCCACAGAACGCTTATCAGCTGCAGGATTGAGAGATCTGGAGGGCACAGGCTACGGGACACTGAAGCAGAAGAATATATCGGCGAAGGAGAAGACATAACTTTGAAGATGACTTGCCAAAATGCGTTTTCGATGTCAAATCTCAAATCAAATAAGAGTAGTAGTCTCGGAGCCCGATATTTCCAACTCAGAAGAAGCGGAGACCTCGAGGTATACAAATCTTAATTTATTTCTGGAACATTCCCTTACCGGAAATGGGATCGTTGCAATTGTTTATCGAATAGGTGCAATTTTTATAATTGGCTTTCTAATGCGCAATTTTTAAATCTGCACTTATGTAAAACTGTTTTGTTACTAACAGTCAATATCAAGATATGGAAGGGCAACCGATCTTTAGTCGAGATTACTACATATCTGAACAAAAAGATTCTCTTCATCTAATGCGTTTTAGGCACACCTCACTCAAGTGAAATGTAACATCATGCGACGTTACTTGTTCCAGCTTCAGAAGCAAAAGGAAGCTGAAAACAAATCTGGAGGTTGGTCGAACCACTTTGAGGTCTTTGCTTGTTCTACCTCTTCATCACAACTACTTCCATGGCAATTACCTTTAGACTTAGCAATGCTTAATATCCAACGCCAACAACAACAGCAGCAGCAGGAGTTTCGAGCTACGCCTTTAAGTTCCTCCTCGATGTCGAAGGAGCATGCATCGACAAATGAATTTGAGCACTCGGACTTGATGTCCACCTACGTCAATCAGGTGAAGGAAGCTGAGGTTCGTGAACCGATGGACACCTCTGTAGGAGAAATTCCATCTAGCGGTGTAGCAGCCTCAGCTGTTGATAAACGTCTAAGGGAGACACAGTACGCGCGTTCCTTGGCGAAGACTTGTAACCGCGGCATCAGTTCTTTACTCATGCCACCCTCGGTACGTCGCAAGCTCAAAGCAGTGGCAGAGGTGCAGCGCCACGCCAACTCGAACACTTCACCGCGTTCGCAGGATGCCGAGACGGCGTTGCGGTTTCTTTTACTCGAAACAACCCGTCGTCCCATGGAAATGTCAAATCTCTTGTCAGTTTCACCATGTGCTGGACAAAGTTTTAATCCGGATAGTTTCGACAGTCAATTCACAGCACGGATCGAGAGACCATTGAAGCACACACACCTGAGGGAGTTGTACAAGGTGGAGCAAGAGATGCATGACATGTCAGACGCCTTGTCATCAGTATCATTCACTAACTCCACTATGTCGGAAGTGAATGAACTTGAAGCCTTGCCGTTTGAAAACACACAGTAAAGCACCCCATATCATTTGTGTTGATGTAACAAAAAGATTGGGAGCCTTGAAATAGTGGATTGGTCTTGTTTTCCTCTCGTGTTTAGACACTTATTTAAAAAAAAACCACCATCCATCATACTCGATATTGAAAGCAATAAAAGTGATGCGTGAAACTTTTCATTCTCAAATATGGGGAGCTATATTTTTCAGCTCCTTAGTTTTTTTTGATAACTGTTGGTTTACCTCTTCGTTGACGACCTCGCAAACTTCCTGCATAGCATGAAGAGGTAATATGCAGATTAAGTCGGTCAGCGACTCAAGCTCAAGCGACTTCAATTTATGCCTTTGTTAACCATAAATTTTTGGCCTTTAATTTGCTTTGTCCTACTTTAAAGCTTGCTATTTTAAATTTACTCATGATTTTGCCGTGTGTCCACCCTCACTACAATATCTACTAGTTAAATTAATATACGAGGATCAAAATTTATTGACATGGCTGCACATAAAATTTGGCTTATTCTTAACTCAAGTAGGGTCAAAAAACATCTTTTACTGTGGATAAACCACGCATAAGTTGGACAATACAGCGCAACCATGAACGAGCGTAAACAATTTTAAAACTTGCACATTAATTGTCCACACTTCGACCAAAGTTCTCGATTGGATGGATGAGGGAGGAGAGTAGTCCATTATTTTGTTTAAGCGACATCCTTCTCAACGGTGCTGCCACCACCCTCACTTCGGCCTAGAGCCATGGTTTACATTACCAGTCTCATTGCTTTTGTCCCCTTTCTGCACGATCTACTCCTCACCCAACCGCTAACAAGGCTATATATTACGTCACGAATGAGGTCATGTAAATGCCGTTTCCAGCTCTGTTCAATTTTTGTTCTGTCCACCACCTTTCTTCCATTGCGCGTAACAGCTAATGAGACCAATATGCCTCAGCTTTGCTACTAACAGCCATGGTCGTAACATTGCAAGGTAACGTGCAACTCACACTAAGTCAGCCTTCTGCAAGATGATTACCACATCCGCTTTGCCATTCGGTTCAGATACCAGCTACACTGGAGTACGTGCTGACGTCCAGCCAGAACAAATATGGGTGTGGATGATGGTTAAAATTGTCTGCAATTGACAAACTTGAGAGGTCACAGTCGTATACTTCTTTTTGCTTAACCTCCAGTTTTAAAAACGGCTGTTGGGACACCCAGCTGCCCGTATAACTTGGTAGGTCTGATCCCAACATCTCTGTACAACAAAAAAAGCCCCATGTCTAAGTGCTACTTCCACCTTCATCTCTAGGACAGTTGTCTTAGGACTTTGCGGTAGTGGCAACAAAAAATCGACTCGCTCTTAAGACAAAAATATCCAACTATCCTTTGCTTCCCGATGAAATGAACAGTGGTGACACCCAACAGAAGATTAAAATGATGCTCCTCTATGCCATTCACTCCATACCTCTACTCGACAGGAATGCGATTAACAGTCGACACATCTAGGTTTATTACAGAGGCCCAAGATAGGAAGAAATGATGTAAAAGCAAATGAGTAAAAGAGGATAGTTGCCAAATCGCATTAACAATAGGCTGTGCTAAAGTGCAGCCACTGTCAATGGCACTACTTTTGGTCCAATGTTTTCACTACTGACGACCATTTTTGATAGTAGCTGGCATTCTTAAGAAGACTCAATCCTGCGTCTTTCCAATTGCTCGTGCACCCAATGACTGACACAGATTGCGCAAAAAACGATAATGCGAGAGATTAACTAAAATGTGAGTTGATAAATGACGCCCAAGAGGCCTGAGTAGCAAGCATTGTTTAACTCCTGCCTTTGGTAACGAGCCACGTAAAACAAAGCCATCGAAGGATCCACTCATAGAGCTAACCCTCAGACCACGCAACTAGTCAGAACTCACATTACACATCAAATCTGTGCATTCAACCTAATTTCCATGCCTTACTTCGATTTTATTGAAATCTTGAATTGGTGAGCACTCTCTTCTCGGAGGCGGTATCACCGCCTACTGCTCTTCCTATTTGAATACCTGCATGAAAAGCGATAATCTTGCTTCTGTCTTGTGGGCTGACCTTAGGACTATGCCAAAGCTCCACTTCTCCTCTTTCTTTCTAAGCAAAAATAGTTAATTCCAGTCCTCCTTCTAATACCTAATGGGAAGACTGGGGATTATACACCATCTATCCTTTCCCCATTGACCATCTTAACTTCAACCAAACAGGCAGCTTAAATAAAGGCACTTTCGACGACCTTCATAGCAGAAAGTGAGATATCACTGTTATACTTTGTTTATGTGACCATATGACGCTAGGCGGTCACTTTAGGATTTGTCGGGTCCTTGTACACTTGGGCTGACCTTCGGGTCATGCCCAGGCCTATTTATCCTGTCGTCTTCAGAATACATGTATCCAGCCTCATGTAATACCTTATCCCACTCTGTGGGAAGTCTCGGAACGCTATATGTATAACGTCTCTGTAATGCTTTGTTTATGTGACTATCTGACGTTTGGCGGTCACTTTGGGACTTGTCTGGGCCCTGTACACGTGGGCTGGCCTTCGGGCCACGCTCAGGCCCCATTTCTCCTAATGCTTTCGAAATACATGTATTCAACCCCACTTATGCCTTCTACCACCCCATTGGAACCCTCGGGACGCTAGAGTCTCTGCCTAAAGGAAATATTCAAACAGAACACCAACTGCTTTGGCACACCCTAAAGAGAACTGTTCATCAGATGGGCTTTAAGCTTATAATTCACCATAAAAATTTAATACTGTTTAGCGCCAAAAACTAAGCAGTGAAGGGAGGAAATTAGTATTTGATCAATCAATTAAAGGAGTGCCTTGAGCCACATGTAAATTTAAATTTAATAGTTTGCATATTTCCAGCCAAAGTTAAATATTTTATAAAGCGAAGCTAAATCCAATGTCTGAAAAAGTAATCTGACACTCTCATTTTAAAGTAATCAACCGGAAAAATTAACAATGCATTCCGTTATGGAGGCGATTTCCCAAGGCCACTGCATCCGGCGTCTACGTATGGTGTGGATCAGGTTGCCTGGTGATTGTCTGCATATAACCCAGGAATGCAGTCCCTAGATGAGGGTGGAAAGGGCTTCCCCAATTTACCCGGATCTGCAAGCTTGCTCAGTGACTTAGGAAGTAAGTCCTTTTGAGTCTAAGAAATTCTAGAATGTTTGTTGGTCAAGCTCCGTGGGCATAAGTGCTACATAGGATACTTGAGAGCTGTTGATCAGTTCGGTAAGCATGGGCGACTGATTACTTTTTGAGGAAACATCGTCTTAAGTGAAGCAGTTGAGCGAATTTTCGTTGGAAATAAGTATGCTGACATAAGCCAGGGTATCGTGTTGGTTCGTGGTGAGAACATATCCCTCATTGGAGAGCTTGTGAGCAGTTCATTTGATTTCTTATCCTGACTTTTTGTCCATAGACTACTTATAGCGTCTTGTACTTAAAACTTCAGTAGGGACAAGTGTTTAAGCACAGTCTCGTTTCTTGTTACAGAAGAGCGACTATGCCATTTCCTCTTCTTATGAACGTGTCTCCGAAGAAGAAATATTCCGCTTGCAGGCAGATTTGATTTCCGAACGGAGAGAAGCACACAAGCGCAGAATAGAAATTCTCGCTTCGCGTGGAATCCCATGGTTGGATCAGGATTTTATGGATGACATGTGATTTTAAGTCCACGACCATGTACATATACATTTTCTGGCAGTTATTTTCTGACGAATAATTAAATTAATAAAGCTTATTGTGAACTTTAATTTTTAAAAGCGGAACACTGTGATGAGACGCTTTACTTTACGATGCGACGTTGGTCAAGTAATTAACTAATAAGGTGCAGCTGGGAGGGCTGTCTGCAGATTTTGTTTGGAAATATGGAGACATCAGATGTAGTACATTTGATGCGGCAGAGCTGCGATCCCGTTTTAGTCTGTTTGTCCCTCGAATGAATGAACTAGTATTGTCGCGGTAGGACTTTGCGATGTCTAGGGATCATTATTGCATAATTCTTCTCAGAACATTTGCCTTGGGCCTGTAGTTGCTTTGTTAATTAGTACACGTTTGCCATTTATTCCACAATCTGACTTTCTGTAGCATGCTTGAGGCAACATTGAGAAGGGTTCACCTCACCACAACCAGACTCTTGAGTGGGTCGTTGTCTCGAGGTCTTAGCTGTTATGACTATCCTAGGCTCTGGAGTCTTTCTTTGGCGTTCTGATAATATCCCCTATTAGGGACCATATTGGACAGAGTAAGGATTACTAGCTAACGTGAGAAAAGCTAGAAAAAGGAGAGCAAGAGCATCATTATGGTTCCATCAGGTGGTCCTCGAGTTCCTCAAAATTGACTTCTCTTACCTTCAAGGAACATTTAAATACCCAATATTTTGTGCCATCACTTTGGTAAAGCAGTTGGAAGAATTGTGATCGTGGTGAAACCATTTACACAGACTTTCAGAGATTACAAATGATTATGACCACTTCATCCCGTTTGCAGGGTCACCGCACATGTTTCAATCGAAGCTGCAGGGTGGATTCCACAATACTGTGATTGCATTCGATATGCAAAAGCAAATAACTAGGCATCTGCTTAAGTCAAATGCTGTTCTGTGGTCACTGTACTGCATTAAGGTAGCTGTCTCCCCAGCAGGTAGGTGCATTTTGAGTCAAATTTTATGCAAAACTTCATGACGTGCATTGAAATGGATAAGGGTTCGTCGTGCAATACACCTTCCCGCAACTTTCCTTTCACCCAGTCAATAGTGACGTGGGGTGTTATAATGCGTTCAATTCCTATTTTTAAGTAGTAATCTCTGTAATACCTCCTTGATATTTGTCTTGCTCCTGTTTGCGTGAGCTCGTCTTCAGAACAAGCCAAAGCCCAACCTGAAAAGATATTTGTTCTTTACATTTTCCTTCATGGAGCAGAGGCAGGAAGTCAATTCGACCTTCGTGTTCGTTACGTTCGAAGACTTCTGCGATTAACATGAAGACTCATCTACTTAAACTTATTCCTATTTTTCCTTTTACCCTTTTGGAGGTGCCGCACAACCCCTCGTTAAGTAAAGAATCTGGTGAACAGAGTAAAGATATTATACAATTACTTTTCAGTTTCCTTGAATTCCTGTATTCAGACCTACTTAATGCCTTCCACAAAATGGGAATTCTCGGGGCGCTGTAACCTTCGTCACGACTGACTTTTCCATGATATTGGCAACAGTGCACTAAAATCTTCCCCCAGTGTCAAGCTAGTAGCTCCTAAGCATGTTCTAATATTTGCGAATTTGGTGACACTGAGGTGGGAGCCGTTTTCTGGCAATAAAGGCAGCCAATTGGGTCCGAATAAGCATTCTCCAATCAAAATGAGGTAGCGAGGTAGTCGTGACAAAAGGTAGTGATCTCCGTCCTAAATAAATGCACTTTTTTAGATTTTTAATAACAATTGTTAATGCACCACTTCCACGTGTTTGATGAAACAAGGACTGTTTGAAACTTAAATCCCTGTCAATGTAATAAAATATAAGACTGCGACATCTCGTGCTGGTGAGTGCTCTGAGTTTGCACAAGGCTCATACGACTATCTCTTAAGTTTTTTTAATAATGATGGTGCACTCTCCTGTTTATTTAAGGGCTAGTGGGAGCTGCGGTGAGGTTAAGTATGCATATTACCTGTCAAGTGAGTCGGCCTCTGGACCATGTCAGTAGGTAAGTCATCTTATGCATGCGCAATCGGCCAAGTATTATGCATTCTATCAACCGCAAAGAAAACTTGCCATTCTACAGTAAAACTCAAAAGGTGGTTTCTAGGCGTCATTTCTCATGCCGCTCATGGATTTGTGTTCATACTGATACTACTTGATTTGACTACCTGATGTCTGGTGGTTACTTTGGTAATCGTTTTGTCCTTGTACCCATGAGCTGACCTTTGGCACAAAAAAAAGATTTCATTCCTTCTCCTCCTAGATGCGAAGTCCGAGGCGCTACACTGGCGGCCGTAAAAAGTGAATCCGCCTTTTTTTGCTACTTCTATCATGTACCTACGGTGCGAAGTAAGCGTATATGCTTCGAGCTGGAGATCATCTGAACTCCCCACACCAGAAGACTTGAGAATGGTATCTGCGTTTGGTCCCACTTTATCCCCGTCTTCTCCAGACAAGCCATTAACAAATGCGATGGTAGTGCTGTGAACCGTCTCTAAAAGTTTCGCATCGGAATTCTCCGTACCTCATCCGCATACAAACGTTGGGAATGACACTGCTCCGGATATCCCTACATACGGGATTGTGTTTGATCCCATCTTCCCTCATAAACGTCATTTTTAGATAAGTGTACGAACGTCAAGTCCTGGAGGCAATTGATGGTCAACAGAGGTGTGCAGCCCCGATTCATGCTTATAGGCAAATAGCAACTCCGGATCCAGTTTAGGCAAGTGAGGAAGCCAAGTGCAATTGTCCAGTCTCATGGTGGCTGATGACTGGCGAGGCTGGCCCGTGGGTGTATCCTTGCAGCATCAGATATGGCGTAGTTACTGACGCGGCAGGTGTACCAAGGGGAGTGTCAAGGACTTGGCTCAAAAAAATGGTAATATAATGCCTTGGCTCTTTAACTGTCCGATATGTAGCAGTTACTGTGAAATTCGCCCAGCACTTGTACGCATGGTCCGGTCTTAGGGTCCTTGCTGTAAGGCTTTGCTTATGTGACCACATAATGTTTGGCGGCCACTTTGGGATTTGTCTGGCCCTTGTGCACATGGACTGGCCTTCGGGCCATGCCCGGGCCCATTTGTCCTGTCGTCTTCGGAATAAATGTATTCGACCCCACTTATACCTTCTTCCACACTATGGGAAGCCTCGGGACGCTACACGTGCTCAATCCTATGCCTTCTTCTGCCTTTAAAATATATGTATTAAGCCCAACTTAATGCCTACATCTACCTGGGAAATGGGACGTTTCAATATCTGACTCAAATCCTAGATCATGCATAGTGCTTTTTTCGTATGACTGCCTCGATGGGCGGTGGTAATTTGGCGGTCGTCTCCAATCTTCCAGGTGAGCTGGCTTTTATGATAGGGCAAGGTTTCGCATTTCTGCAATTTATGTGTTGTGTTGACAGCTAAACTTAGTGGACTTTCTCTCTGTTCATACTTGAAACGAAACAGTTATCTGCCACACCATGGCAGAAGCATAAATGTTAACTTTACTTAATCTTAGAAAACGCAACACTTAAGTGACATTAGTGTAATTTATTCTAGCTTGTTTAAGTGGACTTTTATAAGTGAGAGGCGGGAACCAATTGGGAACGTGGATCACATGCGTGAAATCGGCGAGGAGTCTCCCTCCGATTGATATTCCTTACTCACCTCGTCTGTATCCTATTCCCCATCCTTCCTAACAGCGATGCCTAATAAATCGTCTGCAACCAACTTCCTCTTAAAGTCTGGGAACCAGGGCTCAGAGAGTAGACAGACAGTAACTACACTGGTGGCAGCGTCGGTCGACATCCCTCCCTTCAAAGAAGGCACTGATTTTGATGACTGGCTTTTCTTTACAAAGGCAGATCTCGAACTCTACGAGCTTGCTCCCTGCCCTGCTACTCCGCGCCTTGCCCTATGACCTACGTCGGGAAGCAATGGATGCGGGTTTCTCACTTTCCTCAGATATGGAAGACTGCTGTAAGGTTCTTGTCAAATTGACAATCCTCCGAAAGGAAGAGTTTCTGGCTTCAGACTTTTTTCACCGGTTACAAAAAACCGGGAGAAAGTGATGAAGACTTTTCGGGGAATCTCCAGGCATTAGCCAAACAGGCATTCAAGAATTGCTGTCCCCTTCGCGTTGCCTCATGGATAGTGGCCCAGTTCAAAATGGGTGTACGTCCACCTGCTTTGGCAGAACAACTGGTGCAAATGATAGACTAAGGACGTCCTTAGCCAAGCCCACAGTCGAGGAAATGAGGTTGGCGAGCAAGAGAGCCAAGCAAATATGGCAGAACTGGAATAAACTCTCCCTAGAGGACGACGTCATGTGGTACAAAGACGATGATGAGACAGGTTCTACGAGCCTCGTGGTACCCGGTTCCTTGGTGCAGCCATCACTGTTGGAGTTGTATGAGCAACTTGGCCATGTGGGGGACAGGAAGATGCTTGACATAGCAAGGAAGAGGTATTGGTGGTCTTCGATGACATCGGACGTCCCTGATTTTTGCTGCGCATGCGTTACGTGTACCAACCTGAAGAACTCGACGCGCAAGGCGATGGCTCCTCTGGACCCGATGGCCACGGGCTTTTCTGGGGACATTATAGGTTCCCTTCCCACGGCTCCTAGAGGAAACCGCTATATTTTGGTGATGTTAGGCTATTTCACCAAGGTCGCGGAAGCCGAGCCACTGTGGGCGCAAGATGCTGAGTCAGTAACAACCTCATTTTTCAATTGTTGGATCTGCCGACATGGCGTGCCTGATTCCGTACATAGTAACCAAGGGGCGAACTTCGAAAGTTGTCTTTTCCAAGGACTATGCAAAGCCTTTGGAATTCGTAAGACGCGTACGACGCCGGGTCACCCTCAGGGTAATGGGCAAGTGGAGAGAACAAATCGTAACCTCGTCGAGTTATTGAAGGCCTTTACCAAAGAGGTGCAGCCCGAGGATTGGGATCTATAACTAGGACGGGCTCTCCTTGACTACCGAGTCTCTGCTCAAACCTCGACTGGAGTCTCACCATTCAAGATGCTCACGGGCCGTGAAATGAGAGTTCCTTCGGACATTTTGCTTC